AGAGAAATGCATGAATGTATTTTGAGATCTCTAACTTTTCATTGGAGACTTTGGTATAAAGTGGTAGATCACCCATAAATAAAAAATGTCCATTTTGTTTTTGTAATGAGGTCCTCTGCATTTTATGACCTCAATTTTCCTCAAAAAAACTTCCTGTTTTTCTATATTTTTAATTATTATTTCAGAAGCTTATAAAGGAAGTCAAATTAGATAAATAATTAAAAAGATAAAAAATAAAAAAGATATTTTTTGAGTAGATTCCAACTGATATACATTGCAGCAAACTTATTTTTGTTAAGAAACATAAAGGGACATTCTGAAAAAATCCCCTTGAAAAAGGAAAATATACAGAATTTCCTCATTTCATTCTCAGATCCTGATTAGCAACTAGATGTGAGCTGATGAAATGATTGGCAGTAAATTCTGAACCCATTTCCTGCAAGCATCGTTTTTCAAAAATTTTCTACATTTTTTTCCAACTTTTTTTTCCTCAATTGTCAACAGTTCTCATTCTTTGCCATCTTTCTTTACACGCTCACATAAATCATGGACAAACATGTTTAAAAGCACATGCCATGCTTGAAATGCATCCTTGCATAGGGGTGATTTATGCCCTTTCACTTGTTGCAATAGCCGATTTTTCCCCACAACTGCATGAAATAGCTTGCAGCAGGGATGTGTTTTGAGGTTCCAAATAAAGATCCCAAAGGGGGGGCTGGGGGTTGCAGCAACCCCATAGAAGAATTGCTTTGGGTTCCCCAAAGAACCTTTCAGTGAACAGTTCTTAAAAGAACCCTTTTTTATTGGTGTGAAGAACATTTTAAAGTACCCCATTATGCCATTTTGAATATTCCCTTTCATGCAGTGTGTAATGTAGCTGTATGTGAACGTAAACAGTTGTAAAGCCAAAAGTGCACGATAAATAAAATGATTGTCTCCCAAAAGAAAGAATCGACTCTTAACAGCCTAAACGAGTCGTCAGTAATTCGAATCCCACTTCCGTCACGACTACACATAACAGGGTAACACATTTGCATAATGCCCGTCTATGTTCTACTTGACCCCGATGACAGTGTTTGCAAAAATGCACTTTGAATTATTTTTTTGTAACATTTTTATTATTTATTTTAACATTATGGTTTCTATGTCAATTTTGACTTGTCTGGATCAGTACATCATATTAACTATTTTCAAAACCGTAAAGATACTATTATATAATTTTTGCATAATCATTGCAAACCCCTCAGAGGACCTCAGATGATGCCAATCCTGAAACAACATACAGAACTACCACATTTTGCTATAAGTTTGATTGCATCATTTAATAATTGCTGTTACTAGTGTTCATCGTCTGTTTGATTACGTCTTTAATTTATTTTTCCGTACATTTCTGCCATATGTACATAAACTGACAGTCACCACTGATAAGCTAAAGCTACTACTAAATATTGTAGAAACTTAATTTTCTGTAAAGTTGCTTTGCAACGATTTGTATCGTAAAAAGCGCTATACAAATAAACTTGAATTGAACTGAATTGAATAATCAAATTAATATTCATGAGGCATAAACATGCCACCTCACCTGTGAACCAGTCACAACATAAACGTGCAAAGCATTTCAAATATGCTATCAACAGATTCTCATGATTACCATTATCAGATGAACAAAATTGCAGCAGGTTCTTAGAATACCAGTGGTGTGTTTACATCTGCTTAAACATTAAAGTACTTGCAGTGAAAGTTTTATTTTATTCTCTGACTATGTTTGCACAGTGTGTTAACTGATGTGATTTAAAGTTTTCCTTTCTCTTTGGAGTGTTACATACAAGCTGTTCGTGAATAGATAAGATCCCTAAAGTTGCAACGACTAAAGTTTTAAAGGGGTCATATGATGCTGCTAAAAAGAACATTATTTTGTGTATTTGGTGTAATGAAATTTGTTTATGCGGTTTAAAGTTAAAAAACACATTATTTTCCACATACTGTACATTATTGTTTCTCCTCTATGCCCCGCCTTTTTGAAACGCGTCGATTTTTACAAAACTAATCGGTCTGAAAAGCGAGGTGTGCTCTGATTGGCCAGCTATCCAATGCGTTATGATTGGCCGAATACCTCAAGTGTGTGAAGGAAATGTTACGCCCCTCACCATACTGTTGATGCAGTGTCCGGCCGGAGCGACGAGACATAAACATGAAAACCCATTACAAATTTGTTTGCATCCAGTGGGGACATAATTACTGATTATAATGACTTATACTGTCTTTTAACGCGTTGCATTACATCGCGCCGCGTAAACATAAAACTCTGTCTGCATTTGTGATCAGAGAAATGACAAACAACAAGTGCTAACGTTAATCCACACTGCCCAAAACTCGCGTTTGAATCATCAGTGGCAAATCCTTTAAATGAAAACGTACTTACAGACTGTGAGTCAGAACTGCCGGCATGTTAGTCTAACGTTACTCTCCCAGGATCAGTAAACAGTAAAATGTGCTGCACACATCTGGATATTTGGGTTGAACTGTTCTGGAACAGTGTTGTAAATACAACTTAACCACTGATTTGTAGTCGTGTCCTCTTTTGGAAGACCAAACAAAGTAGTTTCGCTTTCACAACGAAAAACACACATATGAAGATACATATGAAGTAGCTAGCGATGCGATGCGATATGATTCACCCCTATTACGATGCAGTGTGATCCGATTCAACACAATGCGATTCGATGCAATGGAAAAAATATGATCGCATTTATTTCTTTGGTTCAGGCAGACAGCAAATCATAAATTAACTTATGTGTCTTCTGACTTCTAATGCCTCAAGGCCTGTTTCATAAAACAAGTTTACCAAATAGGCCAGGCTTATTTCAGTTAGTCTGACTCACTGTCAAATGATTTGGTTCATTGTCAGTTTTATGCAGGAAAGCTAACCTGGTCCAGGGCAGGCAAACTGTCAGACTACGCTGAGCTCCTCTAACACTGAACAATAGGAATGCAATGATATTACCACTGACTCTCTCACATACTATCATAGCCATGCAGCCTTTTTCTCTGGTTTTATGACAGCTGTACCTTTTATAGTTAGAACAGATAGCATTAGAACTTTACAATCTAACATCGCTCTTTAAAGCATTAAAATCACTAAACTAAAAGTTAAAATCACTAAATTAAAACTACATTTTAACTGCTATAAGAAACACACATTAAGTAGTAATTAAGTAGAAAGCTTAGTTATTTGGCCTATTTTAGCTTACTTTTTAGCAAAATGCATATTTGACTCAGAATTATTGTGCTCCGTCTGTTTAGCTTGCATGTGCGCAGCAGCGCTCGTTCACTCGCGTATGCCTCACCCACTCCTGACAGCAAGCAAAATGGATATATTTCCATGACTTTCTAACATTTACAGAGGAAACATATACTCGTGGCATGTCAGTTATGCACTGAGGAAAACACAACGTCTCAAATGCATTAAACAGCACAAATATATTCGCTGTTTGCCATGGTGGATCGATTTGATCCATGATCGACATTAAGGGCTGCTTAAGATTAAGGGTCCACAAATTAGTTAGATTGTGTGAACTTACATTGACGTTTATGGAACTGCTTTAGCCCCGATTGATTTGTTAGGTTATTTCAAGTCAGATTTTGGACTTTAATCCCAGTTCCCTTTCAGTCGGTCACTCAGAGTCACGTCGGTGACCGACGAATTGGGATATCGCTTCGATAGACCAATCTACTTCGAGTGTAAACTAAAC